AAAATTGAGATCAAAGTGAACCGCTGTACAGTACGTACAACACTGACAAATATAATAGAGTGGAGCAGTTCATCTTCAGCAATTCACCACTCATGCCAATAGAGCTCTGTGAATTGGAATAGTACACAAAAACCACAACATGGCTGTTTTTTTTTTTCTGTCCTGGTCCAGTGTTTCCAGACGGCTCAAGTGGGAACTATGTGACAAACCGAGAAAAAGGACACGCCTCTTTACACAAAGGGTGGTGGGAGTGTGGAACAATCTGCCCAGCCATGTTGTGGAGCCCGATACCCGGGCTCCTTTCAAGAAACAGTTGCGCCAAGTCATTAATAATAATAATAATTGCTTAAACTTATATAGCGCTTTTCTGGACACTCCACTCAAAGCGCTTTACAGGTAATGGGGATCCCCTCCACCACCACCAATGTGCAGCATCCACCTGGACCATTAGATCAACCGCATCCTAATGACAAAACAAAATGGGCGCAATTCCTCTGGTTCTCGTGTTCTTCACTTGGGGTCCAGGCCGCCCGGCGGCGGAACCTGTTTCCAGAACTAGTGTACCTGACAGACCCCCGAACCGGGCGATTGTTCCCCGCAGCTCAAGCGACAACGACAACGCACGTCAGCAGATTCTTTGTCATTTGTTTGAAGACGACGCACAAAAGCGAAAGGAGTCTTGATTGTCTCTCCGGCGTGACAGCGCTGGGTAAACTTTGCCGGGAGCCGTCAGGTGCTTTACCACTGAAGCGCAGACGAGCAGTATTTGAATTGAACACTCGCTCGGGGCTCTCATGCTGAACACACGCTCCCCTGTTCCCCGTCCCGACTGTGTGCAGGTAGCAGAAAGGGACGGAAAATGTATTTTGGAAGGTCGTTTCCTAAGGCCCGTCACGTGTGAGCGCGGCATTTTGCTGATGGACCGCAGATCGGCTATTTCCTATTCGGGACAGTGCACGGCTTTTACGTGCAGCTGGGACAATAGGCGCCACTGTTTCTATTGTTGGCCTCGGGCCTGTCTCTCCGTGTCTGCCTTTTACAGCAGTGAGGGGGGGGGAACCTATTGTCTATGGTCAACTGCCCCCACAATGCAGCGAGGCCAGCAAAAAAAAAAAAACGCGATTTTTTTCCACCTGCTGCTCCATCTCGTGGTGCTGCTGAGTATCGCAATTGCGTTTGGGCAAGAAGTGTCCGCTTGTCTGTCTGGACTCGCTTCTCTCATCGCCCCCCCCAAAAAAATATTCCCCTTTTCTGGATGGGGAGATTCTTCTGCAGCGCAGGCGGGTGTGTTTCTGCTACGGCGGCTCCTCTGGGCTGGATCGCCTGGGAGACCGCCCATCAGGTGTGTGCGGCCGGACAACGTGGGTGGTCAGTTTATTACCGTCCGGAGCTTTTGGGGAAAAACGAGCAATCGGGGGAGATACAGCTGGCCTGAAACAAGCTGGGAACAATGGCTACGCGGCCACAGCCCCTTCTTTCAAAGTGCCCTCGTTTGTACCGCTTTTGCGTGTCAATGTACCCGGAAAATAATTAAAATAAATGAGACGGATGGTTGTGTGTCTTACTGACGTTTAAGAACGGTTAAAAACGAGAGGCCATTCAGTCCGTCAAGCCCGTTTGGTAGTTAAGAGTTTCGTGATCCAAATATTGATTCCTTCTGAGTCTCAGAAATACCGAACACGTATATAATGAAAGCCAGCGGCGTGCTCTCTCACAGTGGAATACCGTCAGCAAATAAGGACAGAAACGAGAGGAGTCATTCGGCCCATGCAGTCCATTTAGTAGTTTGTAGCTAATTATTCCAAGAAACCTCACCCAGCTGTTTCTTTAAAGAAACCGCAGTATCGGCTTCAGCAACGTGGTTGTTCCACACTCCCGGCACTCTTTGTGTAAAGAAGTGGCTCCCGTTCTCATGTTTTAAATCTACACTTCCAAGGAAGTTCCCACCGGTGCCCTCTAGTGGGGGGGTAGCCACTGGGTCCGGGATGACCCGTCCGGATTAAACTGATCCGGAGAGCGTTCCATGTTTCACCGCTGGTCCAGGCTAGAGGCGATCGTTGATGTGAATAGCTACCAATTACCAAGAGCTGGCTGTGATAATTCGCCCCCTCTTGTCGGCAAACTATCCTCAATTTTTAAATTGCCCGCTGGTGCTTTTCTGGAACACCAGCTCCTTGTCTTCAGCCACGCCGCCATACTAATTGAAGGAATTCTTGTATTAAGTATTAAAGGTTTCCACTTAAGTGGAAATGTCTGTTAAAGTGTGGTGGGTGCTGGGCCGCTGTGCATGAGGGATATTAAGGAAGACTAATATTTAGGAACAGCGTTCATTTCTAGGGGTGGTACCCCTGTCAGTCTTTATTGATGGTGCAACTCTTACGGACGCTAAAAGCATTCAGAGTGAAGGAGAGTTTTTGCCAACTGGCGTTGTTCAAAGGGAGGGTGGGTGCTCAGCCCTGGCGGCCTCTGCATGGTGTCCACGGGTCCCTCTGTTCTTGAGTCCGAGGCTGTCCAAGGCTGGGGAGCGGCAGGATTCTCGGGGTCCCCTGTGTTTGCAGTGGGGGAGGGGTGGGGGGGGTAGCCACTAGGTCAGGGTTGCTGGTTCGGGAGGATGGTGGGAGGCGAAATAATCCGGAAAGCGTTCCAGATCCGGAGTGGGACAGCCATGGCCTTTTCCCCCTGAAACTGTGAAACCCAACACTCCGTCCAGAATTCGAGGGATTGCGTCCGACTCGGAGATCCCGGGAGGGCGCGCTCCTCCCCCTCTGACGGAGGTGAAACTGCTCGGCTGAAACTCTGTGGATGCTCTCTCAATAAGAGCGCCTCGCCTGTCCCCATTCTTAAAACACAGCCGCCTCATTCCCCTCATCAGCAGCCCCATTCTTTGCAGCTGTGGCCTGAGATGAATGTGGGGAATGCGGCCAGGGAACATATCTGCCCTTAGATCCTTTTCACGTAAATCTCCCAAGAATCAGACTGTCCTTCATGCAGCATACCAGATCTTATCAGTTTTAGCTGGTACAACATTTGTATGCATTCCAGTGCACTCTGGAAGCAGTTTGTAATAACCTGAAATACGTGAAGAATTTGCAAAGTCATCCATCCTGCCTAATATCCCTTCACACATGTTTCTGTATGGTTAGCGCGCACCACATTTGACTGAGATCTGATGCATTTGTGTTTCGACTATATTTCCTTCTTTTTCACACATTATCCTTCGAAGGGACCTGCTTGCAGGCGCTGGGAACTGAATGCTGAGACAGTTGCAGCGTGCTCCCTGCCATGTCCATCGGTGCTTTTTGTGAAAACCCAGGTGGCAGGCAGCTGGATTAACTGACATTGAAAAAGGCGTTGAGGAGCTGTAGCGTTCAAACTGAGGCTTAGCAGCAGAATTGCAACCAGTTCCTATATCCCAATATCCCCTGGCAGCAGGCAAAGGGTAGCCAGCACAGTGGTTATGCCACAGACACCCATACAGTATATCAAGAGGCAGCCTGCTTAGGCAGAAGAAGAAATCCAAACATTGTTGGATTAGAATTAGTCCAAATCATCTCTTACTTGTATGACCTTGCAGGAATGTTCAGTGCTTTGGCAACACAGGCACACTCATTGTTGCTATCAGTTTTAACCTGGCACAACTGGTACTAGCACATTAGTAGGCGTAACATGTAGTTCCACCTGTGTTTGTGTATAAACAGTCAACACACCATGTTGCTAGTGCTGCTGGTGATTCCTTCAACCGCCTGTTGCTTTGAGGTGTTCTCTACAGCTGCTTGCAAGTCATGTGAAAATGGCTGATGCCAAAGGCCTCCAATCCGGATCCTAGAGGAGCTCCTAGGTCTTTTTGAAACACCAGCACCAGTTTGTTAAATTGGGCCCACTTCAGCCATTAGGAGCTGATTGGACTTTGTACAGAGCTAAGCAAGGATGAAACACCTGCACAAGCCAGCCACCCAGGACCAGGGCTGGTGTCCATGTCAATCTACAGCACAGGTTAAAAGGAACTGTCTCTTCAGTCAAGTGCAAGAGAGCTTGAGAGAAGAAAGCTGCTAAATCATACATTTGTTTACACACTTTGAAAATCAATTTGCTTTTTTTTTTGTCTTATGCCTTTATCTAGGGCAACATAGATTTGCCCCCATTTACCAACATACAGCTGGCTATTCAGGTGAACCAGCTCACTCAAGGATAGAAAAGCTGTGTCACAGCTGGAATTCGAACCCACAGCCCTCCAGTCTCGAACCTTGAGCAGCTTCATTGGTAGCTGATGATCTGTGATGGCTCAGTCTCCTGAAATAATGATTTACTTACTTAACTGGGTCCTTTGATGCAGGTGGCAACATAAGATAACTGTCAAACTGTTCACAGCCGGATGAAGTTAATAAGTGTCCAATTTTATTAACCAGTTCCCTTGAGCTATCTCACATGGGGAGGCATTTTGACTCCTGGGAACTGGGTTGGATTGCTTTGGTTTTGATGTCCTTTGAAGGATTCATCACCTGATTTTTCAGCCAGAATATTGTGAACAAATCCCTTTGTGACGCTAAAATGTGCAATGTGCAATGTGAAATGTGAAATGTGCGAGCGAATACCGAGGCTTGAGAAAGAATTGTAGAGGTTTGTAGGGGGTGAATGCTGAATGCTGAGGTAACACTGTCACCTCCTGGTATAAACTCGTCACAACCACTGCGGTTCAGCTCCATTAGTTGAGTCTGGATTCAAGGCTCGGCAATCAATTACAAAGACTTAAAACATACAATGGCCGCCTTGCACCGTAGGCCGGATTGCGAATAGTGTCTAATTCTGTTGTTTAAATAAAGAAAATAATTGGACTTAAATATAGTTTTCAGAAAAAAAAAACAAGGCGTTTTCACAAAAATAACTTTCTTGTTAAATTCGACGGACGGTACAATCTAGAAGTAAACGGATATCTTAATCTTACAGTATAGCTTTACTACTGAAGGCTGAGGTGGTCGTGTTTATTTATTTTTATTTTGCAGACGAAGTTTACCCAAACATGAGTTTAGCCGTCGGTCGAGCACCGCGAAAGACGGCGGGAAACCGTATGTCTAAATTATTAGACGCGGAAGAAGATGACGAATTCTACAAAACGACTTACGGCGGATTCAACGATGTAAGTTATTAACACAAGACTTTACGTTAGAACAGATTTCTTATCAGTAATAAAATTAATTTAATAGTACAGGAAATATGAAATTGGAAGCTACAGGTTAATACAGTAGTCATTTTGTATGCTTAAAACGTTTACACAGGTCTCCCTCATTGAAATGAAAATCGTAGATTTGGAAATGTTACGAGACCGAGCATAAAGCGAACCGCACACGAACACCTCAGCATGTGTCGTTATGGGCG